CCCGAGGGGGGGGGGGGGCAGGGGGGTACTCCTAGGAAATCTTGGTGGGGGTGTGCCGCCCTGTTCTTCAAATCCTGACCCGATTTCAGACCAAAAAATGTCATTTCCACACCCGTTTTCAGACTAGACCTCTAAAATCCATACCCGTTTTCAGACCTGGCCTTTAGGCAGAAATTATGTTAATCATTACTTAGATTAGAGCGAAGGACAAAACATTATTCAAATCCATTTCGAATTCGCATATTTCTCTTTCTTTCTTACTCATTTGGAATTGAAACGATTAATACGTTCATACACTCTCGTAGTTACCTCGAAAACCATACCCGATTCCAGACCAAAATGGGCAAAGTGTATACCCGTTTTCAGACCAAAACGGTGCAAAACCCTACCCGATGGGCGGCACATACCTGTAAGGCTTATATAAGGGAGTACCCCTGCCCCGCCCCGAGAATAAGTCACGGCGTTATCGACATTAGCGAGGACTTAAACTAGGTCCTTTATGAAAGAATGACTTACAAATAGTAGGATCAAATGTGTAGGGTACCACTCCATTGGGCCATTGACGCCGAGAGTACGCACTGCTTCCGCGAGTAAAACCGTCATTTAAGTCAAGTCCCATGTCAACAGCAAAACGCTGGGCTGGAGTTAAAATGATGTCTCCCTCAAACAGCCCCAGTTCATTAGTATTCTCTGTGGGAACAAATTAAAAAAAGAAAGAAAGAAAGAAACGCGGTCTTGCAGGGAAAAGACTCCTTACCACAAACCACTTTTTCCACAGCACTGTGATGTGTAGTATATATATTGAATTTTAATTTGTAATAAGTAATTCCAAGCACAAAAGCAATACGAGCGAAAAGAGGTACCCTCTCTCGTTAAAAACGTTTTTAAAAAAGTAATCGATCTTGATCTTTGCCCTCAATCAGTCAATTTAAAACTAATCAGGCAATCTGCCATGCATGTTTAGCATTATCCGGAAAGATCTGCGAAAAAAGGGATCTTTAAATTAGGGTAAGAAGGTGTCTTTTTCAGACAGTAGACTATTTTTCAATTAATATGAAAACTTGTATTTCTCCTTTATTTAAAACTGAAGCCAGTACCTTCTGGATTTTCGGCAAATGCAATTCCAGCAACTAATAGAACCACCAAAAGCTTCATGGTGTCAGCAATCATCTGTTCCTTCTTTTAGCGTCAAAGTCGGTTAGAAAGTAACTTACTTTAACTTAAGCCAAACTTTTATGCTAGAACGCTCATTTTCAGCTGCTTGCCTGATTAATCACATCTGAAGCCTGCATAGGGTTCCTTTCAAAAGGATTGTTTTATAGTTTCGTTCATCGTTATTGTGGTTTTTGTATTTTCCCAGTAACTTTTAGCAGGTGATAACACCCTTAAAACGCCTTGCACACAAAAGTACATTTGAGAATCAAATAATTATTTTTTTAGATCGTATTACAACAACGGAGTGTTAAGCGATACAAATTGAGTTTACATTTATGTGATAAATGTATTTATCATTCTAGGTGACAACCACCCATAAAACCGCACGTCTGACTGAAAAATGGTAGATGAGCCAGAAAGAAGCACCTAATCATCTTAATCTTTCATGTAACCCGATACAATAGTTCACGAAAGTGTTCATAAAATTTTGCCAGAACTTTGTCTTTGAATTGCTCCAAGAATTTTTTATTATCTCTGTCATCGCATCAGGGTTTGGCAAACTGCGGTTGCACCTCGTGATATTCAACCGATTTCTTACAATCTGTATAGTTATCCAATTTGTGAAATCTCCTTTTCCTTGTTTGATGCATTATATCCAAGAATGATCCCCACTCTTCCTAAATTTAAGATGTACTAGCTAATAAAATATTGTCATTGTTGTCCCCAGCAAATTAAAGTATAAGAAGTACTATTATTTTCGGAAAGGCGGTGGCGGGTGGGAATATTGGCCAGTAGTACGTTTATTTTGATCCGAACTGTTTTAAGAGTGCTCCACTTTAGCCTTTTACTTCTTTTTGTTTACCTCTTCCAGCCAGTAAAACTAGGAAATTTATTCAGATTAGTGCTTGGTGCTCCTTATTGGGCATTCACCAACTCAGGTTTTTTTTTCAATTGCGACCATAATTATCACTATACGCGTACCATTTACATGGAACTTGGTCATTATCATTTGTTTAATATGCGTTTTTATTATTTACCAGTAAAGCCTACCCTTCAAAGCCGAAGATTGATGGCGTGGGGTCAGCTAAATATTACATGTTGGACGACCGCTGACCCCATGACCCATGACCGATGACACATGTTGGGCGACCGCTGACCCATTTAACAACTTTTCACTTCAAGAGTCGACCCCATGGCAGTTCAGCGCATGACGACCGGGGATAAGATTGGTTTTTACTTCTATTTTTCAATGATGTGCCGATCTGAAGTTAAAAGTCCAAAAACGAGTACAAATTGCAAACAAGTGCTCGAAAGAGTCACCTTTAAATCATGCTTTATTGATAGAAGTTTGTAAAAAAACGTAACAGAAAATATATTTCAAGATTTGCTTTGTTTTTGAAAATTTTGCTTTTGCCGATCTAATTATAACTTGTTATTTGATCTGAGTGTACGATCTTAGGTTACCTGCAAGTACCCAATAGCCACGTACTTGTATACCATAACCAGTCATTTTGAAGGCGTGTGGACTGG